CTGCCAGATCTGACTTCTAATAGTTTGTTTTGTTAAACAAATTTCTATCTGTGCTCATACTTTTTTCTTCTATTATCTTTATCCAGTTTTAGGACTAGCACAATGTTGAGTTCCTAAAATGAGGGGAGAAGTGTTCCTTCTTTTTTCTGCTTTGTTTGATATAATTTATCATTTAAAATGTATATGAGCCTGCTGTTGTCATATAGGTAGGTTTTCAAGCTGGGAATATACTTTCTTTAATGGGTGCTATTCAAATTTTATACTTCCTCCAGAGTTAGCTTCATTAATTTATCTTCCAAGGTACTTCTTAGAAGTTGTCAAATTTATTTCAAAACAGATTTTTGAAATATGCTTTCTATATCTTTTTAAATTCTGTAAAATCTGTGGTAATGTCTCCTAGATCTTGATATTGTCATTTAAAAAATGTATAATTGATATTGTGTAACAGGAAGAAAAGGTCTAAAGGAGCAGGGGAAGTGGGAGGAGTAGGGCAAAGGGAAAAGAAAAAATATGAGAAAAGGAAAAAAATGGAAACAAAGTCTTTGCAAAAAGGGAAGGGTGGAGGGGGTGAAGGGGAAAAAAATAAGAACCAAGATACTCATGTAAAGGTACAAGATCCCAATGATGAATGTGACTATATTTTATACCTAAAATGTACCAATAAACTTAATGGGGGGAAAAAAAAGAATGTTTTAAACTCAGTTTCCATTATTTTTAAAAGTCAACAATTAGTTATATTTATCATTTATTCTACATATTCAACATAATGCTGAACCTGAATGGCTTGTTTTCTTTATGAAACCATGTAATTCAAAATCCTTTTCTCTTTATGAAAGTTATGCATATTATATAGTGTTTAGAAAATATAAATAAATGAAGAGAATAAAAACAAGAATGATCTCCTCACCCTTAGGTAACTATTCTACATTTTGATATATATCACTGGGCCTTTTCTACATAAGTATGCATACCTTTTTTAAAATATTAGGAGTATACAGTTGAAGTTTTTATTTCCTCATCTATATTGGACATTGAATAACTTTTTGTTCCTACTCTATCAGCAGTTGAGAGTGTGTGTGTGTGTGTGTGTGTGTGTGTGTTACTGATGAGTAAACCTAAGGCCTTCACATTGAGCTACATCTCCAGCTCTTTGTGTACTTTTTATTCTGAGACAGGTTAAATTGTTCAAGGTGGGCCTGAACTTGGATCCTCCTGCCTCAGCTTTCTAGAGTGCTAGGACCACAGGTGTGAACCAAGGGGGTTTTTACCAATGTTCCAGAAATTCTAAGGCTATGCCTTTGGGCAGAAAGTGAGTAGGCTCCATGACCCAACCCTTGGTTCAACTGGATAAAATTTACTTACATCTATTTTGTAAAGTGCAGCTTATGAGATCTTATGTGAATAATAGGTTCCACTGCTTGGCCAAATTTGAAAATCAGTTATATGCCACACTTTCATGCTACTTCACTAGCCACAATCTCTCCCATACAAAAATGTTTGACCAGGTTAATCCCACTGGATTATGGTGTTTTAGTCCAGGGATCATAGAGATTAAGTGTTCACATGTAAGAAAAACAGTCTCCATTGGTATCAAGAGATCCTCAAAGAGATCTATCATCCTTAAAACATTAATAACTACTACTCTACTCTTTCCTATGAGGAAATCTAAGAAAAGAAGATATGTCATGTACATATACCAACTCCCATACTGAATGTAATCATTATGTACTACAAACATGTACTAATAAAAATTTTTAAAACCAGGACATCTGAAAAAGAGAGAGAAATGACATGAAAATAGAAAGAGAAAAAGGATCAAGGGAGGAGGAAAAGAAGAGGTAAGTGGGGGAAATGATCAAACTATGTTTCATTAATGTATGAATATGCCAAGATGAAAACCACTAGTGTGTATAATAATATGCACTAATTTTAAAAAGTCACTACTTTAAATATTCTATTTTTTTCCTTTCACAGTTGAAAATCTTCAAGTGTTGGTTATAAAGACTGCCTGAACTACCTATCCACTAATAACTTGGTTCTTATGTCTGATATAAGCTTACAAGTAAAGAAAAGAAAATTTCCAGGCACCAAAAACAAAGAGGCTAAAACTGCTGCCTTAGTGAATGGAAGTGGAGACAGAACCAATAAGACAGGAAAATTCATAGCTAAGGGACTAGAGATAAGAGTAATCTAAAAAGAAAATCACATAAGTCTATTTTTAAATATCCAGAGATAAAAAGGAAGGAATATACTCTGAAAAGTGAGATACCATTATGAAACAGTAACAGGCCAATCTGAATATAAACCAAGTAAAAATCTATAATTAAAACCTCAA